GTTATATTAACTGGTCATCTTCTTTAGATATGTTGCTAGTTTCACTTGAATCGCAATCGACGGTGAAAGGGTAATCCAATTTTCACTGGGCTCATTGCTTAGCACCATAAGTCATTGAGAAAATGAGTTTCTCTAGTTGGGGTCCAGCTTGTAGTCCAGATTACCTACAATACTTGTAGTAGTTCATCGACCCATGCTCCTTTGGAGGCGTTAAGTTTTCTTTTCAAAGTATACTTGATGGTCTTGCTTACAACATCTACTTGCCCATTTGCTTTGGAGTGATGAGGTGTTGAAAAATGCTTCTTGATTCCCAACTCCTCACACAGGTCTCTGACCTTTTTGTTATCGAACTGACACCCATTATCTGAGAAGATTGAATTGGAAATTCCAAAACAACATATAATATTCTTCCACAAGAACTTGGAAGTGTTGACTTCTGTAATTTTGGCCAGAGGTTCAGTTTCAACCCATTTTGTGAAGTAATCAATGACGATAATAGTAAAGTTTGCACTATACCTACCCTTGGGTAAAGGGCCTATAAGGTTGATTCCCCATTTGATAAAAGGCCATAGGCTGGATATTACCATTAGTTCTTGGGAAGGTCATTCTGGATATGAGAGAAACGTTGACATTTATCGTACTTTCATATAATTGGATCACTTCTTTTTTCAAAGTGGGCCAATAGTACCCCTGGCATAGTGCTTTTTATGCCAACGCGAGTCCTCCAATGTGGTTGCCGCAAACTCCCTTATGAATTTCACAGAGGATGTATGTGGCTTTCTCCCTTCCGACCCTTCGGATGAGGGGTAAGGAAAAACCTCTTTTGTAGAGCACTTCCTCTTGGAATACAAAATGGGCTGCCATTTTCCTAAGTTTGTAGGCTTCTTCTTTGTTGTCGGGAAGGACTTGATCTTTAAGGAAAGTTACTATAGGTTGCATCCATGTAGGCGTTCCTTCTACCCACATTACCTATTTTCCCTTAGAAATGGAGGGTTCTGAAAGGCGTTCAATCAGAACAATTGTTAGTAGTTTTGAGTCTTACTACTAGCCAGCTTGGACAAGGCATCAGTGTGGGCATTTTCAACGCTTGAGATTTGAGCTAACTCAAATTTTGTGTAGTTAACGTGGATAACAGATATCGGACCCACTCGTGTCCACGCAAGCTAATTCCAATAGCATAGATAGATACTAGTCAACAATATCTCGAATTTGAACATGGGAGAAGCTTGATAACACGAGACAAATATGTTTGGGCACCTGCAAGATATATGAGCAAAATTGAACGATAAGGAACGATCAACAAAAAACCATATTCGTGTTACATGTGAAATAGTGATCATTTGATGAGAGGACATGTGGCGTCATCTCTTTAATCAAAGCATCTTCTCATAGGTATCAATTTTGACCCAACTAGCCGGTGGCGCATTAAATACTCCCAAAAAGGGGGCAACCACCCTATAACCTATATTGACAAGATTTCGACATATTACTCATTATAAGAATCAACTCAGTCATTCCATCAAGATTTCATGAATTCAGGATTTTCAAATGTGGGTCGTCACTCGTCGTGGTTGAGACTTTGACGAAGCCTCTTCACACGGGACCCTTTTTGTGAGAGTGGGCTTCGACAAAGCCTCTTCACACGGGGCCACTTTGGTGAAAGTGGGCTTCGGCATAACCTCTTCACATGGGACAGTTTCGGTGAAAGTGGGTTTCGGAGGGGGGCATGCGCATAGGACCACTTTGGTTAAAGTGGGCTTGGTGCTCTAGATTTAGTGGACTTTGGTAGGTCCTAAGCACTCCACGTGGGATGCCACGTGGCTTTGGTGAACATACTTCGACGGATTGGCCACGTGGGGACGCCGGTGGCGAAGCGTAACAAATATCATAAATTTTATCACACCCTCCAATTTCTGCTCTTTGAACCACCACAAAGAGAACAAGAAAAATCGAGATGCTTGGGTCATAATTTTTTCCTCAAAAGATCTCTAGTCATATGCCAAAAGAACAGAAGAACACGTTGATGACTTTGTACAAATTCAAATTTGCATACAATTTTCGATTATCCAAGCAACAATGACTTTTATTGATTGCTTCGGTTCCAAAGTCGCCATATGTGACATACATGTATCGCTTTGTTATTTGATGCGGAGACAATAAAAATCTGCTACATTAATGTATCAAATAATAAAGCAACGCATGTATATCACGTAAGACGACTACCGATAATTTTTTTCATGAATAGCATTATTCAATTAGTAAACTATTTATTTATTGCAATTGAAATATGCATACATGTGCCATAAAGAGGAGCCTTCCATCATCGCAATTATAATATTTGGATATAACAATACCAATAGAAGATTTAGCACCGATTTGGTAGGGAATAAAATTCATATTTTAATACGGGTTAAAGGAAATAATTAATTTTAATCATATATCCATGGGACCCATAACTTTCCAATCACACGTTTCATCAACTTTTATCAAAATATACTAAAATTTTGATTTTAATTGCCATCAAA